GTCCTGACTAAGAAATAATTATTTTTTCTTTGATTATGGGTTCATGCAATTAGAACTTTTATATAACCTCCTCAATCTCGTTTTTCATTTTCCTAATCTTACAGCATTTCACAGCAAGGGCACGTTGTTGTTTTGTTCTGCATACTAGGTGGAAACTTTCTTTGTAATACTGTTGTTTTGTTGATGGGAGGAAAGAGAAACATTGAAATATTTGTTAGAAATTTACAAGAAATAAAAAAAAATAGAATTGATGGGTATTAAAAAAAAATAAAATCTATTACATGATTTTTTTTTTAATAACAAAATTAGCCAAAGGCAGGGCAGTGGGCCTTTAGTAGGGTCGCATTGCTCAGCTTCAGCACATAGTTTGATGTTAGCGCATTTTTGTTTGCTGGGAGGAAACTTGCTTGTTAATTGCGGTCTGGTTGTTTTATAAAGCAATGTAAAGAATAGCATTTCTTCTATTTATTTCACTTTTCCGTGTTTTAGAGGCACGTGCTACAATACAAAGAAACATTTAAATCATCTTCAAGCTGAAAGAATGTTGAGATCTCTTCGGTTGTCTAATTGTGTGACGCTTTGGCTCACTGATCTCTCTCCAACAACTACCCTTGCAAAATAGTGTGCTTTGTCCAGAACAACGCAGAAAAGTTAGCAGCAAGCAAGTCTTGATGACCTCTTTCAGAAGAATTGAAACGGATTATGATTGCCTTAATCTGATAATGAAACGCACCCTAAACATCTTCATTTCCCTCTCTTCCTCTGTTCACCGAGTGACATGGTGATAATATCTTGGGTGATTAGGGATCCTGGATAGATTTTGGTGCACTGCTTTGAACTGATCTAGCATGAAATGTCTAGCCAGTCTGACTAGAACAGATCTGTAATCAAAATTGCCAGGACATTTTCTTATTTCCAGTTCTTAAATGATATCACCTGTTAAAACACAATATCCACAATGTATGATCATAATTAGTGTGTTCCTTACAAATGTGTTCTTTTCACTTATTGACTAAAGCTTTTTGGTTGGTTTCTTTTTTCTTGTGTTTTGCTTTGGTTTTCTGTATTGTCTTGGAACTAGAGCACAGTTATTTAATGATAAACTTTGGCAATAATCTTTCTTAAGTGTCTACAGTGTCTATATGCAAAAAAACCCTGCCTACCTACCTCCCATTCCACCCAGTAATGACTCCCTACTCTTTTTTGTAATAGCCAACAAAAAGCTTAAGAAAAAAACACTGGGTACTGCATTTTTGAAAAGCACTGTTTAGGGTTTACACAAAAAGTACTGTCTCTGCTTATGTTGCTTGTCAATAAAAATTTATCCTTGAGTGATTGCTAGTTCCTTTCTGCTCTGGGAAAGGTTCTCTGGGGGAAATGCAATTGCTTTATTGATTGAATAGTACACGATTTTAAATAGTTGTACGAGTAGTTGACTTTTAAAATGGAGTTACAGAAGTTGCTCTTGAACCTGATTAGTTCATCAAGCATAGCATAAAAATGTTTTCAGCACAAACACAGGACTTCAGAGTCCACACAGCAAGATAATGGAGTTGTCCTAGCTTGCAATGACAATAATTATGATCATTATTATTCATTATATCTTAGAAAATGTTAGAGTAAAATTTTAGAAAGCCTTATCCACAATATGTCAGAAACTAATTTTTTTATGCCTATGCAGACTCTACATTGAATTTGACAAAAAAAAAAAAAAGAAAAAAAAAGGCAAACATCCTCTTAATTTATCTATTTTCATTCCAGCTGCATATATGTCAAAAGAGATGCATGTGGTGAAATTTGACCCTTTGGTGACTGAAAGTACATACGGTGTTAGTTTACAAAGTATACTTCTAATATATCTTTAAAAGGAAATGTATTCTCAATTTACAGTGAGCCTTGACTAGGAAGAACAGAAAGAAAAATTGCTTTTTTTTTTTCAGTAAGGGAAGAAAATTTTAAATTTATAACTTTATGCAAGATTGCCAGGGCCTGAGGCAAAAAAACGGAGCATGTATCTACTTTACAGCTGCAAAAATAATTACATGACAACTATCTGTGGAATAATCTCTAGTGGATTACACTTTGTTAGCATTTCATTATGTAATGTTAGAGCCGAAATAATTCATAGTAAATGGAAAAAAAAAAAAATACTCGTTTTGATGTATCTATGGCCTGGCCCTTTGATGTTCTCCTAAGGCATTCTATTATGCATTGGTTAATTTGTGAAAGTTCTTAGTTTACAGACCAGGTACTATGCTTGTAAAGCTGATATAAGACTAAGGAGTATAGAAATTACTGAAGTAATTTGTTTTTATTATGCAAGTACTGGACTTCTTTGTTGCTTCAAAGGTACTTAAAGCCATCTGAGGTGCTATCTGATAGGCTCTCCTTTTAGATTTACGAGGTCTTTCAGACTTGAGAAGCGAAGCACTTACGGTTTATTACGATCACTTCACTTGATTTTTTTTTTTTTTTTTAACTTAAGGGCACTTCTTCTTATATATCTCTTAGCTTTATCCAAGTGATGCAATCTTCAGCAGTAATAAGAGTCTTCTTACTAATGGTCAAAACACCCCTTTTATTATGTTGCAATAGAACTGTGGTGTAGCAAATAAACTCTTCTGCAATTTCATGTGCTGTAGCAAATAAACTCTTCTGCACTTTCATGTGCTGTTGGCACTGGAATCTGGATATATAGGGTTTTTCTAGTAACTTGGTACAACCTCTGTTTCTTCATCTTCTATGTTCTTTTGCTTTTTAGAGACAGAATTTTTTTGCTCTTAGATGAAGCATGCTTTCTCAGGATTCTGTGCACCAAACAATAGGTGCACTTAAAAAAAAAAAAATAAAATAAACTTTCTAGACTAGATCTATTTGAGAGACCTGGTTCAGCCAAGAGAATATGTTCATCCAACAGCATCTCTTTGTTGTAGACCAGATGACCTCCAGAGGTCTCTTCTTCATTAAATCATATTATTCTGTTGAATTAGTTTGTATTGTTAAAGTGATAGAGACATTTTATCCTTGATTATCCTATTCCAGTGCATCAGTATCTCCTGATTCAGAGCATCCAGAAAGCTCAATAATTAAAATGAAATATTTGAAATGTGAGTACTTCAGAATGGAAGGGACTTGGTAAATTCAGTTGAGATCTGCAATACGCTTCAGTTTTGTTGGTACACAGATGTTCTTTGGTACTTCCAGAAATTGTATACTGTTTCTAGAACAGTGGCAAAATATTGTGTTGATTGCTTTAGATTCCCACCTACCCTTCTATATCAATCTGGAACTTTCCCTGTGTGTGTTATGTTATGATGAGCCGAGCTGGACAAGTATGCCTGTGACTGTAGCTACTGAATGTTAAGTAGATGGAACTACAGAATGGAAGGTAGATGTAGTTGAGAATTAAAAATAGAATATAGTCCTACTGATTAGTTACAAAGCTATTTGCCAATAGTCCTCCAAAGCAAAAAAACTAAAAATCATTTTTTGCTCCTTCCCTTCATTTTAGATTATATACCATTGCAGAAAGTAGGTGTGAGAAAGGTATATTCCTCTGTCCCAGAGTAGATGACCCATTTGCCCTCAGACCATTTTAAAAGGTCTTCACAGCATAAAAGACCTTACAGAGAGGAATGGTTTGGTGGCAGTGCTGTACCTGCCAATCTGTAAGCACACCCACATTCCTTAATGTCTAACAATAAATCACACTTCACTTTGAAGCAGCATTAACAACCAAACCTCTATTCAGTAGTGAATGTCCATATATCTGTGATCCTTGGCTTGGAGGGTGTATTTTTTGCTGCAGATTCTTGGCACTATTTACTGTTGACACAAGATTGTTGCAGGTAGCAAGAGTGACAGATAGCTTTGTCAAAATCCTAGGAGTCCTTTGGTTGTAATGTACTTTTCCATTACTGTATCCTTTGTTCAGCGTGGATGGACTAACAGCGGTGGAGAGGACTAGAATGTTATATTTGCTATCTTTTGAGTTATTTATTTTTAGATTAAACCTAGTGCCACTTACTTGGCAAGACTTGGGAATGCCATTATTCTGTTAAACTATGTCTCTGTGTAGTGGTCTGCTGAGCACAGTATGATGTCTGTCCTGTCCCAAAAGGAAAAATAATCACACAGCTATTGATAAAATTCATAGTGGGTGATTGGAGGGAACTAGAGTTTCCTAGGCCTGGGCTTGGCCAAATGATGAGAAAGAACAAATTCTAGTAATGAAGCCACAATAAAAATGTTTCCTTCTGTGAAACGATGGTAACATTAATTTCTTCAGATGAAGGATATGGTCCTGACTGAGGCTAAAGAATGACTCCTAGAGATCAGGTTTTATTTTTTTTTCCCCCTTAGAAAAGACACAAGCCAACTTGCCAAGATGAGTTTTCTAAGGCTGTATAAATGTTTGACATCTTATAACGTCATCAAAAAACTGGGAAGTTTAGCTGGTTTGTCCATCTTTGTCATAAATTCAGAGACAGGTACAATTCATAGGACCAGTGGCCAATCTTTAACCATAAACCTTTGAGTTAGTGGCAGCCTGACTTTGTGTCTTGGAAAAAGAGAGGCAGAAAGAAATTTCTGCTGTGCTTCTTCCCAAGTGACTGTCTACCTGATCAGAAGACGTTGTGCCTTCTTCAGCTGTGATAGGAATGCTGTGCTCACACGCTCGGCACACACTATGCCAAGTGCTATCAGTGAGGCAGCTCTTCTGTGCGAACGGTTCCATGTCTGTGCCAGCCTTTCGCCCCTGTCAGTGTCAGTCACTTGGCTCACGTGTTGGAAGTTCAACATGAGTTGTGTGTGGGTTTTCTCTGTTGCTGTGTGGAAGTACCAGAGACCATCTGCAGATGCCAGATGATATTCATTGACTAAATTGCTCATTAATATACAGTGACAATAGGGACCTTTAAAGGCCAAAACAAAACACTTTGCTGTGCTGTTGGTGTATTGGTGGGTAATTTTTGACTTCATTTTCTTTGTTCTTTCAGTTCTACGAGATGACTTCAGACAAAATCCATCAGATGTAATGGTAGCTGTGGGTGAACCTGCAGTGATGGAATGTCAGCCCCCAAGAGGTCACCCAGAACCCACTATATCATGGAAAAAAGATGGGACCCCTCTAGATGACAAAGACGAGAGAATTACAGTAAGTATCAAAAGCTTTTCAGACAATGCAAAAAATGGCTAATCTAAAATTACTAGTCTCTTGAGCGCGTGGGCATCCAGCCTTTCTATTCTTTCTAGGATCTGTTCTTTCCTTGCCTCGGGGGCAAGGCTAGTTTGCATTTAGCTTGGAATGTGTCCTCTAGTCTCATACTACTTCATTGCAGGGTAGGAATGTGTTTGTTAAAGAGGACCATGCAAAACCTATGCTCTTCTCTTCCTCAGAGAAATTAGAAGCTTGTGGAAATGAAATTCATTATATTTGTTACTGTCCTATAATTTCCTTGCCTTTTATCCACCTACAAATTTCCGCAACCTATAATATCTGCCTTCTTTGATTGGAAAGAGGAGCTACTAGTAGTCTAGGTGAGACCTTCTTTTGCAAGCTCGTTGAAAAGAATCTGTGCAGGAAAGTTGTGCGTTTTATGAGAAAGGATAAGAAGGCTTTTGGGATATAGTCACTTTTCTTTAGAGAGATGAAGGCTTATCGTGCCCTCTCAAATTAAGCTGTTTTCTCGGTAGAGGTGTTGTCACACTCATTTGTATCTGTAGCTTGCTGAATACAGTATGCAATTATTCAAGCATATGGATAAAGCAGCTTTTCAAATCAGAAAACTATCCTTCTTTCAATTTTTGATGTGTGAAACAATAAGCTAGTGAGATTAAATGTCTTGAAGAAGTGGCAATGAAAAATGGAGTTTAGAAATCATTTCTATGCTGCCAACATGGTGGTACAAAACATCTTTCCATATGGTGAGAAACTGTATCATCTGAAAGCACATACCATACATCCTGTTGGCACTAGCAGGATTACTAGTGTGAAAAAAGATCAGAGGGACATACAATTTATGTACCTCTATCATATGTTGGAATGAGGGAAATTTTTAATGGAAGAATGATTAAACTCCAGCAACCTAAGTAAAAAATTACCATTTTTGTTTGAGATTTAAATTGCCTGTTTTTCTATTTGTTTTTTACAAACAAGACAAAGCTCAGACAGCCTGTAGTTGTGGCATATGCATACATTTAAATTTTTAAGTACCCTACCGAACCTATACTGATTGCTGGCTATTAACTCAATTCCTCCAATCATGCTTGCTAAGAACTTGCAATTTCCTTTTCAAATCTCCTTCCCACTGTGACAAGTCAATTGACCTGAGATAAAGAGAAGATTCCAGTGCTACTTTTTTTTTTTTTTTTTTCAGGAAATGCTTTCTAAACTTGCATTTTCTATTACTATAGTTTATTCTCTTGAAGGATTTTCAGGTGTTGCCTATTAAGTACATTTCTTTCATTAGACATGAAAACTGCTCTTCTCCCAGCTGCTGGAACAAAGACATACCCAGAACAAAAGCAACTTATCGCTGACTGGCAATGCCACCTGTATTTATTAAAATTGTGTTTATGATGGAATAAAGCCCCTCAGTTTGGTTTTGTTTTCTGGTAATTATATCGAATACTCACCTACAGAGTATTCTTTCGCCATAACATCTGGTGGAATTATCTTGCGTTATCAGTTTCTGTTTCCAAAAACAAACAAATGAAAATGAGGTTTGATGTAGGTGTAGATATGTGCTTGTTTCACGTGCCCAAATGAGTGTTTGTTTTCAGAGGTGTAAATGAACAGTGCTGCGATAGCTAGCTCAACTGCCTTCATTTGCGTCCTGTTTGCCTGGCATTGTCTTAAGCAGCACTATTAATATCATGGCTGCTTTCTCACACAGGCAAAAGGCTTAAGATATTTTGTAATGCAGATTTGCATCAACTTCCAGCTGTAGCAGGATCTTGCCAAGTGGATAAATACGCATTCAGATGTACTTCTTAATAGCTTTGCAGTAACCATCTGTAGTATCTTGCTAGTGGCTGGGAGGTGAGGGGAAACTGGAATCTGGAATGAACAACATGCTACAGGACAGATGGGCAAAACATACTAATGTTGAAACCTGACTTAGAATTATTCCATTTCTGTTAACTTATCTCCTTTAGGTCATTTCCATTTCAGTTTAGCAACAGGAACATAAACAATTAAAAGGGTGCAACAGCTGAAATAAGGATGGAGTTGTTCGGTTTTAAGTGACAGATTTCATTTAAAAAAAAAAATCATGTAAGTGCCTGTATTTAAAATTAATGCCTACTTTCATTTGATGGCAAAATTGTAATTGACTTAGTGAGACTAAATTTCAGGTAATATAGTTTACAGGTGTTGCTTTCCTCTTTTTAAGCCATGAAATTACCAGATCAAGAAATGTCAAACTATATATGTTGGTGTTCAATATATATGTAATACTAGTGGGCATTTAATCAATGAAAATACTTGTAGTGGCTCCACTTCTAAAGCATTTCCAGTTGCTTTCATTTTTAGAGCCTTGTTGATCTTTGACTTATTGCCATTTTGAGAGTTCTGTAAGTGTCAAAGGCTGTTTAAAGCATTTTATATTAATGCTTTCCTTTCTGACAAGAGAGTTCAAATAACAATTAAGATTATATATTTTTTGGAATAAGGGATGATGCTTGACACCTCTTTTTGATTCATATCTATACTTTCTTCAGAAAGACAGTATGTCCATGAAGCAACTTCATTTTTAATATATGGAAGCTTTTTTTTTCTCATCTGCAATGACAACGTTGATCTTTGAGTCAGCAGAACTGGGCTTTACAGACTGAGTATTAAGGGTACCGGAGAAATAGAGGTGGTAGCTTGGTTCCTGACAGAGATTTTGAAGCAACAGATGTAGATAAATAGCAGTTCAATAAGATCCAAGTAAAGGCAGAACTTCCTCTGGAATGCAGTAAAAGGAAAATATTACTTTGTCCTGGTAGGATTAAGGAAATCGATATGTTTATGTAGGTGAGATAATAAAAATCAAAGTACTCTTTGCATATTTTTGGTCCACATGTAGGGCAAATAAATGTGCTTTGAAGAGAAATAAATTTATATGTCTTTCAGGTTATAAACAATAGTGAATGGAACAAATAGGAACTGAAAGTAAGAGTATGGACACAGCTATTTTTGATGGGGATTATAGAAACAAACATTTTCTTTGAGCAAAGCCCTCCCAGTGCTGCTCAGTTTTAGCACATCATACTTGGTGTAGGCTCTTCAGTGTACTCGTGTATACTGGATATGTCTGATGAAGATTCATCATCAAAACATTTTATTCTCTCTGCTCTCTAATATGTCGTCTGTAAACAGTTTTCTCAGAGCATTGGAGCTAAACATGTTTTTTCTCCTGTATATTCTTTACACTACAGTATGAAAGCGTGTGCTTGATGTGGCTAATCCCTCTCTATATATTACAAATGAAGCAGGAA